TAACCTCAACATGTTTTTGGACTGTGTGGGAGGAAGCCGGAGAACCCGGAGAGAACCCACGCTGCACGGGGAGAACATGCAAACTCCACACAGAAAGACCCCAGTGCTCCCACTGGGACACAAACCGGCGACCTTCTCGCTGCGAGGCAACAGTGCTAACCACAAAGTAATGTCAATACATTAAAAATATAAAATGTAAGCGTTAGGATTAAGCGGTGTGTAGATACTGGATGGATGGATGGATGTTTTCACTTTGACATGAAAGAGTCTTTTTTGGTCCAACAATCATACATTAAGTCTTGTAGTATATACTCTCACAGTGTGTTGTGATATCTTCTTTCATGCAGACATGTAGTGTGTCTTAAATTTTTACCCACATTTCTTGCTTTTCAGAGCTTCCTGTCAACATTGTAAAACCTCTGCAGGATAAGACGGCCCTCGAGAAAAGCCGCGTGATCCTCGATTGCACCGTGTCCAACCCCAGATGCAGCATCCGCTGGTACAAAGGCAGCAACGTCATCCTGCCCTCCGAACGCTTTGAGATCTGCAGCGAGGGCTGCTATCGCAAGCTGATCATCCAGCAGGTGGCGCTAGATGACGACGGCACATACAGCGTGCAGGTTGGAGAGTATACATGCTCTGCAAAGCTGACAGTGGAGGGTAAGAGACTTCCTGATTAAAGCACTCTGTAGTTTGGAGGCAAAGTTTGCAAATTAATTTCAGGAGCTGAAGTGCAGAAACCTGTAGTGTGACATCACTGATTTTAGTCCGACATAACAAACTGCTTGTTAGCTGGAGATTGTTATGAGGTGCGCATGTGTACGACACTTCTTCAAAGAGGTAAATTCACAATTGCTAACATAATTTGCACTGTCACACTTGAAGATCATACAAATAAGAGTTTCAATGCACTTTTTAAAATCTGTAAAAAGCAAGAATCCCATTGGGCAACAGTGGTCATAGTTAAACTGAAAAATGAAGGATAAAGGAGTTCTTCAGCCTTTAGAAAACCTGTTTGAGGGCAGAAGTTGTGCAAATACTGTGTTTATACTCCTGCTCCTGCCACTGGTGTGTGTATGGCAACGGCAGTCCTATGCAGAATATAGTCACTACTATTGTAGTGACGAATGCCAGAACCTCACATGTCATAGCTCAACAACAATATTTCATTTTCCCCGGCAACACATCCGAGGCTGTTATAAGACAACAATAGCAACAGTATGAGACCCTCTCTTATAGTAGTAGCAGATCAACAGAGGGAGCCACAGACTGTAAATACATACATAACCTGATAGCGCCACCCACTGGAAAAGCAACGTCAAAACATGTGTTTTCTGAGTTTGGACGAGGTTTAGAGTGTTTCCACCCCCCTATTACGCAGTTTAAACATCTGCAACTCCTCTTATCACATCTTAGTCCCTCCCATCAGACATGCAAGCGGAGGAGGAGAGAGGAGTCAAGGCAACAGGCATCGAACAAAATGAGACATTCTCGCTTCAGAGATATGGTGGTAAAGTGTGGCACAGCTGCATTATCAGTGCATTTTTTTGTTATCGACTATTACTGTATTACACAAACAGTACACAACGCAGTACTGTACAAACAAAGAGCTACATATATTCTAGTTGAGTGACAAATATTACGCACACGCATTTGTCAGTCCTACTTTTAACATGATTCGTATATTCCAGCTGTGTGTCGCCTCTTTTAGGTGCCAAAAAGAGCAACACAAATACAGTCTTTAATGCCATGACACTAAAAGTACAACGAAATTGAGTGCAATCCTATTCGGTGCAAAGTAGCAGTTTTACACTAACAAAGCTATGTGCAAAAATGTATAAACAGAGATGTATAAAGATAAAGTCCACCTGTGCATCCTCACTTATAGCTCCTCGATCCTCAAAGTGTATTTTTTTGAAGTGAGACATCCTAAAAAATTGTGAACAAAGGAGACGAGGAGGCCCGAAAAAGAGAAATGAGTCTTAAGGCACACAATTTGTATTTGTTGTGTGTTTTTGCAAAAAGCTGGATTTTTTTAAAAGGCATTTTTTTTTCTCTAATTAAAGAATACGGTACAAGATAACCCCCTCACTCAACTTGAATTCACATCATTTACATTCAGTCCTAATGGCAGGTTGGATTAAACCCTCCAGGTACAAGTCTAATTGTGAAAAGCTTCACATTTCTTTTACAAAAAAAAAAAAAAAAAATCCCAGCCGACTTAGGGTGAAGGCAGGGGACACCCTGGACAGGTCGCCAGTCTATCACAGGGCCACGCAACATACCCAGACCCTTAAAAATAAACAGGCCTTGTTTTCATCACAGGCCATTTTTTTTCAACAGTATAAATAAATATCAGCAACTGCATTGCATTTAACTGCCTCAGCACTGAGAATGCTGGTTCACCATCACAGTGTCATGACTTACTGGTGAAGAAAAATTAATATTATTCGTAACACTAGTGCTTTTCTTTCTGTTATGAATCAGAGCTTTCACTGAGCACAGGCTAGCGAAAGCACTACTCATGTTTCACCAGCAGATGCCAGTCTTCTCAAAGATTTACACTTGGTTCCTTTTCGTCTAAAGTTCTCAGAACTTCACAGCTAAACTCTTAAATATACCAGCAGCAACCCTATCTACCATGTGGTTATACCAGATTTAAAGCCACTAACAGCTCTCCCACTCTGCCTTGCACTGACCCAGCCCAGTCTTTGCTGATGGTCCGAGAGCTCAAAGACGTGGAGGTCGTGGCTCCCGACGAGGCCTGCTTTGAATGTGAGGTCTCGGTCCCTGTCCTCAAGTCCCCCGTGTGGAGTCTGAACGGGGAGCCCTTGCAGCCGAGCTCTCGGGTTCGTCTGGAGAAGATGGGGACGGTCCACAGGCTGACCCTCCGGCAGACCTCCACAGACATGACCGGGGAGGTGGAGTTCACCTTTGGGAAAGCAAAGAGCAGAGCCCAGCTTCGGGTCATGAGTGAGTAGAAGAATGCACTTTTTTACCTTAACAGTTTAACTATGATGTAGACATGGGTATATATATATATATTGACGGATATATGTTTACATTTAGAATTCATAGAGGGCTGCAGGAAAGAGTTATAACTTCCTGCAATGGATCGCTTACAATCCCCATTCATCTCATTCATAAATATGTCAAAGTAATAGTAGTTTACAAATTGCAAACACCTTTTATGTAATCAACAAGAATGAAGCTAATGTTAACTTTAATAAGTGTATAGGGTGGAAAAGTGATGCTCCTCATTACCATCAGCAGTAACAATGAATTCACTTGACAAGCTGCTTAAATGTGTTATACGTAATCCATTAATGTAATTCCATAAGTAACCACTGGGTGGCGGCAATAACACAGTTTTGAGTTTACTTCATTTGACCAAAAAGTGGACAGTACATCCTCAGTTAGAAAAAGTTTTTTACTAAGAGTGCTTTTTTTTTTTTAAAGCTATTCAATTAAAAAGCATGAAAAAAAAACAAAAACAAAAACATAAACCCTTCAGACTGACTCTGAATTGTCCAGGTGGCGCGTTTAAGTGCGTTGCATGACTTGTCGCTGCACATGCAGCCCATAGCAATAAATACAGTAAATGTTTTGGCTCCTAGAGTGCTGCAATCTGTAAATAATATAAGGTATTTATGAGCCTACCCTATCAACAGACATGTAGGTCGAGCAATCCAGAGCACATACCCACAGAACCTTCCGGAGCCGTTTCAATGCGTAGACGAGTAAACTAATCTTAGCTTTATTATGCTGGCTTTAAATGAAAGAGTGTTACGTTCAATCATCTGGCCTCGGCGGTAGAACTGTTGTAAATTCATTTGGGTTTAAACTGAGGGCAAAATGCAGCGCGACCACAAGTCGGCCACAGCTGAGAAAATTAAAAGTGTTTGAAAGCTCTATAGGAGTTGTGACACATACCGTAGAGCATACAGAGCGGTTCCTGTCAATGCAGAATAACACGGGCAAAGCAGATGGTTTTGCTCTGAATATATCATGAGCTCGATGTAGGTCAGGTGGTCCGAGTGCATACAGTATACAACAGAAGTGTACCACCAGTTAAATGTGATCTCAATCAAAACTGTGTCCCCTCTCTACAACAGCACAGCTTCATCTGTGATCTCCTGTTAGCCTAACTGTGTAGTTATAAAATGAGCCATGAACACCAGAACTTTCTTAATTTTGAGCCCATAAACTGTGTCTATCTGCATCATGGTTCCACATAGCTGTAATCAGGAGGTATCGAACGAGCCGCAGTACCACTAATCAGAGCCACAGCAGCAATCTTCCAAAAACTATGCCACGGACGGTGCACTACTTGCACAGTCTATCTCTGAAAAACAGTTGGTTAGTTGCTTCTTGGCACAGGGGTTATCGGGGGGAAATCAGACTTTCTGTGGCAGACGTGTGAAGGGCATTGCGCAACCTCACCCTTTATAGGAGGCATCCAGGAAACTGTGGAAGACTGATTGCGAAATAACTTGAAACAAAGCCTAATTAATACTGGGAGAACATTGTTTGGTTTGATTAGATTAAGATAAAGTTGTTTGGTTTAACGTGAACACCACAGTGAATGCATAGTTCTGACATCGAGGCCCAGAGGTGGCAGTGTGATGATATGGGAGTGCCAGAAGTTGTTAGGGGGTGACCTTTATAGACGGCATCGTGAACATACTGGCTGACTGAAGCTTGGCAGAAGAGGAATATTCCAGCACGATAATGATCCAAAACGCACTGCCAGAATCTTTTCTAGAGAAGGAAAAAAGTGGAAACCAAAAGCTGACCCAGTATGTCGCTGATCTGAATCCAACAGAACACCTTTGGCGCGTGACTTCTGTTGGTCATCAAAATAAAACTTGGACATAAGAGGTGTTGAGAAAATAAGATTTGAATCTCACTTCTGACTTTTGTTGCATTGGGTTCCTACTGTGGAGCCGGTATTAAATTTAAACTCAGAGGAAGCACCCAACTGTTCAACTAAGAAGCAATGCCCTTACTGTACGGTGGTACAATGTAGAACCATTTGACCTTCAGGTGTGCTCACCTCTGCTGTATACTGTAAATATTGGGGAATGTCAGTGTCTTCAGGTGTGAGGTGCTTTTGCAGAGTGAAAGCTTCGAGCAGGTGCATTCAACCAGGGATCATCTGGTTACAAAAATAGATTATCTTGCACAACATTCAACATGCACGATTTACTCTAATGTTTGCTTTGTTGTTGCTTACTGGACAAGTTTGGCTCGTTAAGCCACCTTAAATGAAACATGAGAACTGTCAAGTGCAGTTGTACTAGACTCAAGTAGTACTCAGGTTTACTCGTGTAACATTTTGGCCAGTTTGTTCTTCAATCTAATTTGTCTTTTCTGCTCAAATTTCACAGGTGACCCTTGAGCGAAGCCCCTCATCCGTCTTCGCCTGATAACTACGCCGACTGATTTCAACTTGTAACACTGACATCGCTTATATATTTACGCACAGTCTATAAAAAAAACTGGCTTAAACAGGGTTGTGATGGATTTTCATGCAGTTCTTTTGATCGTCTAATAGCTTTCTGTTCACATAAAACGTGTCGTAGCGTGTGAGGATGACTTGATTTTGTTCCTTTGTCATTACACAAATAGCAGTTTCAGTGTAAATAAATAATGCCCTGTGTGAAAGTGGTTTGACTGTTAACTAGGTTTAGATGCTCCAGCTTAATGTGTATTTGTGCCAATAATAAATATCTGGTTGAAATACTGTAAAGATGAGTCTATAGTTAGGTCCGTACAGTCCATATTAAGAGTTCTACCTACAGTATATGTTCACTGTAATCCACAGGTCTAATGCTCAGGCCCAAAACTGACATAAAGCAAAACCAAAATGACACATCTGGTCTTGTTCCTACACTGATTGTACCTTGTACATACATCCTGCCCTTATAAATTCGTTTTTATGCTCAAGCTATTCTTGGTAGAACTCCAGAACCAGAACTTACAGACTATATATGCATTTTTTTTAACACAATATACCTTGATTTGCACTCAGTTTAGGCATCCCATATATCAGAGCATGTTTTTTTTTTTTTGTGGCTGCTGTGACAGAGACTCTTTTGGTTTAGAAAACAGACGTATTACTTCCAGTCGACTCCCCGAAATCAGATCAGACACCACACCGAATGGATCATTTAGGCAACAGCTCGTTCAACTTCACAAATCAAGTCTATTTTCATCATTTGTTCATTGTATAGAAATTGTTTTTGTATGTTTTGATGACGAGTTTGAATGAGGAAAGTTCTGTCTTGCAGTTAAAAGGGGCTTGTAATGTAAATACATTGGGCCAAAAACAATGAGGTAATTTAGGGAAAGAAATAGGTTCACAAATTACTTGATCGCCTTGATTGATAATCAAGGGCACGCTTTTGATTTATTGAAATGCTTTGTTGAGTGCGGTTTGATGAGTGGAGAATGATAGCTGTTTTCATATGAAATCTGTTCCATATTCCATTTTTCCATTTGACCTGTTTCCAGCTCTGCCATGTTGTGTTGAGCGTTAGGTACGAGAAGTCAAGTACTGTAGTGAAATATGACCTGTTTCAATAAAACATGCTTTATTGATGCACGGTAGAAATATCTCTAGTTGTTGTTGTTGTTTTTTTTGCTTTTTTTCAGTCTCAACATTTATCAGCAGCAATTTAAAAACTCACTTGTTTGAACCAGTTTAAGTCACAATGTTAATACTCTTGATGCATACAGTAAAAAAAAAAAAAAAGTTAAATCATTATTCCAAGACAGATTATAGTTGTTCACGTATCTTTTGTTTTAAACTGAAACTGATAGAAATACTCACACTGGCGCAGTCACACTGAAACCCACACATTCAAACACACACACACACTCGCTCCAGACCGGGACTAGAGCGCATCCGGCACGAGTTCCTACGCCGTCCCCCCGAAGAAACTGAACATACAGATCAATAAGGCAGTGCACTTGACTCCACTTAAACGAAACAGCTCGGATTCAAGTTTGCCGACAGGAGGCATCAAAGTGTGCTTTCAAATCAAAACGTATTTAAGATGCCGAAGCAGGTCGCGACCTTCCTCCCGCACGCATTAAACAGGATTGCATTATTGATGCACTGCACGCCGTGGTGGCTGATACGACTACACAAAATAACATTAGATAAAATAACATTAAAACCAAATCAAAACGATTGCCTAAAATCCTGATATACTCTATTTACAAGATTAATCTTACCATTGCTGCAGTGGTAAGTGTGTGTGTGTGAGAGAAAGGTCCAATAATCTTAATCCAGAATTATACAATAACAGATCCAGGTTTTGTTTTAAAATTATTGGTATGCAACTATGAAGCCAAGAGTTACGCGTTCGTGACTGGAAAGGGCCGAACAGCTTCTAAAATGGTTATTACACACTCATCATTAGATTAGATTGAATTTAGTCGTCACCTCGAATGTAGAGAATAAACACTACGTTCAGTGACGGTTCATTCCTGGATTCTGGTTTCACACTTTGGATCCTAAATCCAAATGCTACAGTAAATGGTAGATTTTGTTCAAAGCTTTCCAAAGACATACAGTAAGTGCACAGTGTTTGGAACATGTCGAAATGTGCATTTAAAAAAAAAAATCACTAAACCTAAAATCTCCAGAGTTAATGATTGTCACCTGTCTGAAGTTAACGGGATTCTCGTTACGTTCTGTGCGAAAGCGTCAAATCTTATTAGAAATGCTACATTGTACTGACGTTAAAACGGCTGGTGGTGGTTTATATGTAGAATGGCACTGAGCAACTGTTCACACAATCTAGCTTTACAGCACACTTACAAAGGTCACTGCTGTCACATAACGACAACAACAACAACACACTAGCTGCACTGCAAAAGATATCTACAGACGTCATTTAATCTCATATTAAGTCCGGGCATTACGACACACATGGATGGGTTAGGTAGCTGTCAACGCAGTCACACCTAGCCCAGCTGCTTTTACTTTTTTTTTTTTATATCCAACGTACTAAAAGAATATGAGATTAAATGGCAGGTGATTTTTCGCAGTGTGGTCCTTGTAGTGGGAAGCAGTGTGGAGCCGTTGGCCCACCAGCTTCCGTGGCCCCGAGACGACAGCCGCTGGTGATTGTTTTCGTCCTACTATCCTGCCTCTGTTAACTTGAAGTCCTCTGCTGCTTGAGAATATCATAGACGTCGTCCACTTTGCTTAGTCTCTCAAAGAAGGGGATAAGATCGAGGAGCTCGGTGTCGGACATGTCGTCAAACCAGGACGCTACAGGAACCTGGAGGTTTCAAAAAAAAAAAAAAAAAAGCAGAAGTGGGTGGAGTTAGGAATCATTTCTAGCACTCTGGAGCCCTTAATAATGTGAATGTTGTGAATCACATGTACGAGGTGTGTCAGAAAAGTTCCAGGACCGGTGTTACAAAAGATATATTTCAAACTACAAACTATGAGTTTCCCCCTTCAGACGATCAACCAGCACAAAGAGATCCTGCAGCGTTTGCTTCGTTCAGAAGAGGTGAGAGTTGTGGCAGGACAAGTCGTGGCTGCTTCACCATGACAACCTGCTCACAATGCCCTGAGCATCCCACAGTTCCTGGCTGAGAAGAGCATCCAACCTCCCTACTCACCCCACCTGGCTCCGTGGGATTGTTTCCTCTTTCCCAAGGGGGTCATCAAGGGGACCCGTTTAGAAGACATGGACGACATCAAGATGGCTGTGATGACGGAGCTGTGGAGGATACTTCCAGGAGTGCATGGCGGCGTGAAGGCAGAGAAGGCTGGGGAAGTGTGTTAGACTCCAGGGGGATTAGTTTGAAGGGGAAAACTTGTAGTTTGGATTTGAAATATATCTTTTACGACACCAGTCCTGGAACTTTCCTGACACACCTCGTATGCTGTATGTCAGCACAGTGCAGAGAAACAATAGAAATGCGTACTGCGTTGTCAGGGTGGAAGATGTAGGAGGCCGGGGAGTTGTCTATGATGATGACCTTGTTCAGGTCTCTTCCTAAGCGGCTCAGGTCTTTTACGTAGTTCCCTTTGTGAAAGACACACGACTCCCGAAAGAGCCGGCTCCGGAAGGCCCCCCACTTGTCCAGCAGGTCGGACACAGGATCCGCGTACTAATAAATCAAGACATAAAATGAAGAAACAGGGGTCAGCTTTAAACATAGCTGAGCTATATTCGTCTGTAGTTCTACAACTGTGCAACAATTATATTTGGGTATGCTCATTCCATTTTGTTCCCATACAAAAGCAAACACACATTAATGAATGAAACAGCAGATAACTGGTAGAGGAGCATGTTGTAAGGCAGAGATAGTCACCTTGATTTGCCTGGGAGCCAGTTTTGCAAAAACAACAAGAGGCCGGGGGCCAGGTAATAAACAAACAATTATATTTATCAGATAAAAATAATAAATATTAACAGGCTCATAACTCAACTTTTTTTTTTAATTATGTATTTTCAATTCTGTGAGTAGCCGCTGAGTGCCTCGGGCCGAACAGTTTATTAGTTTCACATTAAATTGAAACAATGCAATCAGCAAATCACAAAGGTTGCAATTTAGAATACATGTTATGCAGCATATGTAGCTGAGAGTTTAACTGTCCTGCCGAGGGTTTTACAAATTGTGTGGCAGGTAGTGGTCGATCAATGGGGTTGTTTTCAGGCCTGATGCTGATCATTTGTAATCAAGGAGTTTTAGAAATGAAAGATGCACAAACAGTAAAAATACATATATTACATGTCTGTCAAATTAAGATTTTTATCATTTATTCTTTAGCGTTGATACAAGGATGCTAAAAAATGCTGAACGCCAGATCTGATAATCGATCTGCTCACAACCAGTCGACCCGTGGTGACGGTCACACTTTTGAAACGGCAATCCATCCCACATTTAAACCTATTACACGGTGAATGCTGAGCTGAAGCTTGACTTTGAAAAAAATGATACTGCAAATCAAATCGCAATATCAGTCCGAAAAAAAAAAATTCTCCACAGATGCTTCAGCCCTAATAGGGGTATTATTGGACACGCGGCATCTAAACAAACAGAAAGAAACCTCAGCGTGAATCGATTTATTGTCAGCGTGAATTAGAAAATGATCTGCAGGGTCCGATCGCCTCCACAGAGCTGCTTTTTAAATACGTTTTGTCAACGTGAAAAACTATAACTTGGTAATGCATATCGCAGATTAGTCTGGAAATGACACTTTACGAGCTTTTAAATGAATTATCCTCCACAGTAAGCGTTTTAAATGTAAACATAATGGCCTCCACAGAGCTACAACCTTCCAATGCATCAAGTTTTAATGTGCAGCATAAGCATAAACATTCACTTTGTGTCAGCCATGAAGGAGCGACCACTAATAACAGCGTTCGATCTCTGACGGTGCATCCCAAATGCACCCGTTAGGCGCTGCAGACGACGAAACGCGGCGACTAAAACCCAATCCCGCGGCGTGTGAGTGAGTTCATGAGTGACGGCTGACCAGATGCTTGGCAAAGTTAAGCTAAGGTTAAGGTTAACACAGTTTGAAGGAAATGTTAGAGGTTAAAATGTCTGAGCAATCCCCTGACAGGTATCGTAAAACTCTCTGGATGTGAAAGGCCGGCTGTAAATCACACTCAGAAATGAGCTTCCAGTAATTCAAAGCACAATCTTTTGCAACTGCAGTTGTCACTTTCCAGTGTGGATAGATTTGTCTGCAGCGGCGTCCAACTGGAACATGCTATCTAGTAAAGCTGGGAAAAAACAAAATAGACCATATTGCGTTTTGTTTTTTTGTTTTTTAACTGCGATATTCAATTTTTTCATTTTCTTTCTACTGAAAACCCGATGATGAGATGTTTGACGATCACAATCACGCTCCCTCATGTCTGGAGAACACCATTTTGGAGTCAGAGAACTCGTGTAGCACCATAAAACTGAATTAAGATGTATTTTGTGACATATTTTACCTTGATTAGGATGCTACACTTGGCCATACTGCAACTTAAATAATATTTAGATTAACTGTTTAGCCCAACCAACACATTTTAAACAAAAAAAACAGACATGGAGAACAGACCTTGGATAAGCTCGCGGTGAACAAAACGCACTCAAACAACTCTCCCATCCTCTTGAGGAATTCGTCAACGTGGGGTCTCTTCAACACGTACACCTGGGCGCAGACACAAAGGGCACATCAGTGTGAAGACAACAACGATTCTGTTGCAAGCTCAAGAACACAAACAACTCAAGGGAAAAATAGATTAAAAAACAGAAATCCAATGTGTCTAGAAATCCTGCACATTACAGCCGCTGCACTCGGTAGTTTGTTACAAGTCAACACATAAGTCACCTAAATGTCAGTTGGTGAAAAGGAGTAATGTTTTCTTTTGTCTGTAACTTCATACTGTTTGAGTGATATTCAAGAAACACAAAGATGAAGCTGTGTATTTAGATTAATTCCCTGATCCCCAAAATCCACTACAGCATGTCCAAGAGCTAGAAACTGTAAAAACACAAAGAATCATCAGATTTCCGACCCTCCAACAGTCCTTGAACTAATTCTATGTACAGAATCATTGGAAAAATTTACCAGATCTAAGCTTAAAATCGTGATTTTTTATTAATAACTCTTTATTCCACATTTAATTTCACAAAATGCCCAGAAATAAACCGTTTGCACAAACCTGATTCTGTAAAGAACAAAACAAAAAAAACTTGGCCATCCTCCTTGCAACTGAGAGGTTAGTTCAGAGACTTTGTGGCTGAACTGCAGGCTGTGTTTCCACAGAGCAGGTTGGAGACAAGCATGAAAACACATTTTAAAAATATAAATAGTAAAATATCTATATCATGTAGATCCATGAACAGAAAAATGGAAAAAATATTATTCATGGTGATTCCAGTTTTTTTTTTTTTTTTTTTTTGGTAAAATAAATAATCAAATAAATTTGTGTTTTTCTTTTTTGTAATTTAAGGCATTAGAATTGTGTCATAAGTATTTCTAATTTCTCTCTACCTCGACCCATAGTTGTGCAGGACTTTATGTTGCAGTGAAAAATGAGCTCCCAGTGAGAAAAAAAAAAAGAAGTGAAAAATGCATAAATGCAAAGAGGCAAAAAAAACACCCAGAAACTAGAGTTCAGAGGGTTAAAACAGACATAAAAACACCTCAACAGTACTTTACATCTACTCCCACTAAGATGCTGGCGGCCTTGTTTCTGAACCAAGTCATCCCGAATAGGCTTTCCCCACTTTAACAAGCCTATCCTGGATTACTTGAAACAGACCCAGGCCCTTCGGACAACAAAGCTCCTCTGTCTTCTGGACGGCCACGCAACCGCAGACTGTAGTTACCGTTTAAAGCCTGCAGGGAAACGTCGCTGCCTTTTCCAATGAGCGCCAACGAGCGTAATGTGCGCAGACACTGAGATTGATGGCCAGCGATTTCTGAGAAGCCTGCCAGGCTTTGCTCATTTCGTCAGGCCACTGAAATAGGCACCTGCTGTTTGGAGCCATCAACAGAGAGGGCTACAGCTCTGTCAGGCCGCGAGCACTGTGTTCCCAGAGAGTGGGATTTTTAAAAAAAACTTAGTTAACTGTCTTTTTTTTATATTTGAGGGTTTATAGAGTTCATAAAATTTGGTTTCTGGCATATATATACAACACAGTGACACATAGTTCACATAAAACGATGCAGTTTTTATATGAATCTTCTCCCAGGAGGTCTAGCAGGTTTGTAGAAACTACTGTGAATCTTCCACGATGACAAGTTTTAACAATGCAGAAAAACATCGTTACAAATCGTGATTCAAGCATTTCAGGGGCCTACCTGGTGAACTGTTCCATCAATTTCCACTGGAATGATAAAATCTGCATTGTTCACCGGCTGTTGGAAACAGAAGCGGAAACACAACAAAAACAATCATTCAACCTCCGAACACAATCGACAGAGAGACATCAATGGCAGTAAATCAGAAGTAAAAGATGTGTCATAAAGGACACGCCGACGCCACCGCCGCCTCTTTTAAATAACACTGTAAATAATTTCACTTCTGTCACTTCAACCGGTGAAATACGGGCAGCTACAGAAAGTGACAGGGCTCATAAAATATCTGATTTATTTCTTGTAGTTCTCACACTTGAAATATGCCTCTCGAACCTCGGTATCATTACAAGCCTGTTCTATGTAAGGCCTAGCACCGTGGCCTACATTGGGATACGATGAGGTAATGTAAAGGAGACAGAATCACATGAGTTGCAAACAGAAAGTTTCAGAACAGATTCACAGTTAACGCACAGGTTTTTAATGATGCACGTCATGTTCTGCACCAGCCGCTTTAAATTATTTAATTATTACAGCTCAGTTAGTAACTCGCTTTTTTTGTTCTTTTAGTTCTTACAAGCAATCTAATTGAATGCAATCCAGTTATGACACCAGTTTTTTTTTTTTACACATTAAACGTCTGCACCGGCCTTTTTTCAGCCCTTGTTGCTTTTACAGCTTCCTCATCCCCAAATCCCAAATATTTGAAACGTTCGGCCCAGAAGTTACTTCCCACTTATTAAAATAACTATTTCTTCCCCCAAGAAAAATGATTAAAACTGTCTACATACACTCAGCTTTAATAGACACACCTGTGAAATGCAACCCAATTCAGCAGCTCCGCCGTAAATTCCACTTTTACGAAGCTTCTTCAACTTTCAGATTTTGTTTGACATTGTTAGAAAGACGATAACTCTGCTTGAGGTGACAGCGGAGAGTGGTGGTACTGGACGGTGTTCCTAATATTTTGCCCCCCACCTTAAATGTTAGAAATGCTACAGAATTGATGTCAGACTTGTTGTATTAGATTACACTGGATTTAACAGGTGTGTCGAATATATAGACTTGAAAATATCTCATCTCTATAACTTCATTTATCCTTCAAATTGTATAAAAATGAATCCCCTTTTGAAGCATTTCTCTAATTCATAAGGATTTATTTGAATTAATTTTACATTTCTTGACATCTATTTTACTTTAGTTCAGTTCTAGCATCACACAGCGAGCTTTGTGTAGCTTTAAACAGCCGAGGAGACGACTGTTAACGTCTTTATTCCCTAAACCATTCAAACTGCGTGGTCTTAAGCTGTTAGAAGGCCAACGAGGAGATTTCAGGGCGACATGTACAGTAATACCTTCCGAGTCTAGACTTATATGCGCACCCCATAAATAATCTATTTAAAGTGTCTAACAGCTCAAAACATATTCCACACAACTCACATGAAACCAACTGTAAAACGGTGTTAGCGAACGCTATTCTTAGTATATGTGTCAAAGTAATAATGAGTTTTATTATCAACCTTGCCTTAAACATGGAGTTCACAGAGTCTGACCCTGTTTACGCCGAGCTAATGGCAATATCCAGTGACATCCTTAAGGACAGTCTGTGACCTGAGAAGGACTAAACACCACATGGCATTCATTACATAATTTGTCGTGATACAGGAGCCTCGACTCCTGGCATTGATTACTTTGTTCCCTGAATGCTACCTTAAAAGGTATCAAACCCATCAAAAGGACGCCGTGTAATAGAAAGAACAATGTAAAACTGAAAACACTGGAAGCAGACGTACTGCATCAACACTCACATGTTTACACCGTTAAGCAAATTCTGCAGTTCACTATTCATTTTAAAAACATATATAGTTGCACTTTATATATATATAAAGCATAGACAGAGCTAATGACTTTTCTTCCTAGAAAATCAGATTTTATTGGCTTTCCAGAGATCTCACTCGGGTTTTAGGTTGCAGGTGGAGTCATGAAACCAGAGCGCCAATAAAATAAAGAGTTAATTTTCAGGAGGCAATACTTAGAAGGTCTTTACGATAAAATACATTAAGTGCCTTTGAAAAAGGTGCAAATCCTGCTGCTATTCTTGACTACTTTTTTGACTATTTCGGACTCGGTTATTAGATTACACGCTGCGCTATGGAAGCCTTACATTAGAGAGAGGCAGCGTGTCCATCGAGCTGTCAAGATATCGAGTCGTTGCCGTATACATTTATAGCACATCTAAAACAACAAGTGCTTTACAATACAGACACAACACGGGTGTTAAGAATTTACTGAACAAATCTAAATATAAAGGTTGGGATCACACAGTGTTGTTTGTTATATAAATGCATTTGAGTGATTTAAACATTATGGTTAAAACCCTACAGTATTATAAACATTTTAAATGTGATTTTATTCTAATTTACCTATTTAAATATTAAAGTTAAGCCCCTACAAAAATGCATATCGTACCTATTTACCTGTATTTATTACCTGATTGTGTTTGAATACTGAAGTAAGCACAGAATACACAACAGGCAAAGAACCGTTTAGACCACATAAAACAAATGAATAAATAAGAATTTAGATGATTAATTCTTTAAAAATGTGTTCTGTCTTTCAAAAATAAAGCATTTCCACACACGGTTTCCTTAAACTAGTTATCTATCTCATGTGTTCTACTGTCCTTTTTGCTTCTCAACCAAAACAAAGCATTATTTTCAGCAACAAAAATAAAATCCTGACAGAGTAACAGTTACAGTGAGCAGTCAGTAAGCTTAAACACTGGAAAGCAGAGGAAATGTCAAGCCTGGTGTGTTCTAGGTTGCGAAATCTACTTATTTATCAGAGTCCTTGTGGTTTTTATGCAAAAACCACAGCCTGAAAATGGAAAATTTGCTGTTTTATGGTGGATTATGTTTAAGTTTGTTTGTTGTTTTCACTGATTACTGAGCAACCTCATGGTAATTTATGACCCCTTTCTAGATTTAAGACAAGAAGTCACAGTTTTTCCTGGAAAGAGAAAAAAAAAAGACCTGGAAAGTAATTTTTTTTGTTTGTTTAATTTTATTTTAAGTTGCCCTTTAAACTTAATTATGGCCGTCAACACGTCATGACTCTCCCCACCAACCCACACATCCAGACCTTCCTTTTTTTATTTTTTATTTTTTATTTAAAACAAACCAACACTGCAGAATCTACCCAGGAAAGGCTCAAGGAACATGATGAAGAGCCCAAAGTGTTGACCTGGCCTTCCAACTCCTCAGACCCCCAACCCCAACATGCATCCACAGCTTGGCCCCGCCCACGGGACCGCTGCCAGCGTCCTGGTGCCAGGCACCACGGGGCGCCCCGAGAGGTCCCGTGTCCATGGCACGACGGTTCAGATCTGTTCTAGTAACACGTGGGGGGACTTACACAATATCAGACTGGTGGTTGTAACGCTGTGGTCGATGGGCGCGGGGCCAACTTACCTTAAATGAACTATGCACTAGCGTTTCATCCAAATCAATGACCACACAGATCTTCCCTGCATCATTCGATTTCATCTGTGGGAGCAGCGGCTTTGCTGGGACCTGAAGACAAACAGACCATCAAGACTGATGTAACATAAAGGTTGCTACTAATTAAAACGCTCTTTTAACTCTCTGTAATATAAGCAAGATGAGTGTTGCTTTAAACAAAAATTACCACCTCGACATGTTGCGAAAGCCCTCGAGCTTATTGTGTGCGTGTGTTTCTTGTCACTCAAGAGATTAAATCGTGTTGTGTACCGGTGAGGGGTTACAGGAAACATTGGATGCTACAGCTGCTGCCACGCTGATGGAACATGTAAATATCACTCCGAGGCGTCTCGTCCTTCAGCGAGTGGTCAGTGATCGTGGTTCGTTAATGCGATTCTGCTTCTAAAAACAAGCTGGCATGAACAAACAGGAGGCCTGTAACACTGATGCATCTGTTTGTCCGTGTGGAGTGAGCTGCCACGTGAGCAAAATGACAGAGCTGGAATTTGACACAGATACCACACAATATGCCAAGTCGAGATCTCCTGTAACTTATTCATTGCCTCGGCTTGGCGGTACAGTCTTACTGATGTAAAAATAGATCGGGCGCATTTGCCTTCGAAACGGATTATTTCGAGTTTCGCCCCACGGTTCTGAGGACTCAGTAACTTCACTGTTAAGGCGCAACATAATACCTGCTCTGTCGGCGGAATGCAGTACTCGCATTCACAAGGCTCACAGGATTCATCGTCACTCTCCTCTTCTGAATCCCTGCTTTGTTCGGAGGCCTTGTTATCCTCAGTCCTTTTGTCCCCTCCCTCGATTTTGGCGTGTTGCGAGACAACGCTGTGAATAATATCTGAAGGGGGTCTCGGTTGTCTTGAACTCTCATTCAACACACAGTCCTCGTCAGATGTTTTTTCCGCAACGGTGCGGTTCAGTTCAGTAACTTGGGTGATTTGAAATGTGGCTGATTTGCGCTCCTCTGGGCTGGCCTGGACTTCTTCCAGAGATGAAAGAGCGTCTTTTCTCGACGCATCGTATGATCTTTCCCCCACAATAAATCCATTCAAGGCTTGTTTAACAGATGACTGAATGCTTTTAATCTGATACGTGTAGTAGTCCTCAACATCCGCCTCGCAAAACTCTCCAATTTCTTCGTTATCTATTAGGGACCAATACGGCTCCACCTCTGAACATGCGATGAATACTTTGTCTTCAGGCTCGGGCTCATCTTTGTCATCGGCTAACTCAGTCTCATCACTTGTACGGGCGACATCAACGGGAGTTTCACACTTCTCTTGAGCATCGCAGACCTCGTCTTCATAAGCATCACCTTCAACACAGATTTCCTTGGCACATGGTGCACACATGCTCTCCTCGTTGGCAGTGGACGGGCAGACCTCGTCTTCTTCATCGCAGACTTCAGGAACATCTGATGCACAAGGTTCTTCATCAAAAGGGGCTTCATCGTCCTCTGCTTCATCACTGTTCTCCGTGTAAACCGCTTGGTTCTCCGATTCATCTTCTTCATCTTCATCTCCTGTGAAACTCGATTCCGACTGTCCGATCCAGTCCTCGTCTCTCTGGCCCGTGTGTTCTTCGCCGCTGTCCTCCTGCACATCCCCAGAACACACTTCGGTTTCCGGTACGTTCATTTCCTCGTTTACTTCTTCAAATTTGTACACATTTTTGGTTCTACGCTTCTGCGCCTCTTCTTCGAGATACAGGTGGTCGTGGATATCGCCCCCGTCGAAGCAGGAGATGTAACGCTGCTTCTGCCCGAACATGTGTCCGTGGTAGTCGGCTTTGTCAAACAAATCAAAGTAATCCTCGATAACAATATCAGCGGAGGGTTTCTTCTGTTTGTCCTCATTACTTCCGTTAATGCTACTTTGCTGTGTTTCTTCATCTTCTTCGAAAGACTCCCACTGCGTCTGCTCATCGCTTGAATCTTCCTGAGCTCCTTTTTCAGATTCTCCAGATGAATCGGAGCAGGGATCAGACGGAATGCTGCCATCTGGACAAGTCTTGAAGGATTTGGTTTCCACAGAGGAGCAATCTGAGGAACCGTCTTCCTCCGAGCAGAGGCTGTTCTCATAGCTGCGCCCTGATTGATGAGTGGGTTCGTACTCTTGGCTTGTTTCAGAGTTATCATTTCCACATAACTCGCTGGGATCTGCAGACATGTCTGATGTACTAGCTTGCTGAGAGTTTTCTTCGGCGTACACGTGTGTCTCACAGAAATCTCCTGCAAAGGAGGCGTCCTCGCTGTCTTCTGGCAATCTAGGGGCCTCTTCATCACTGGGCTCATTTTGGTCGCCCTCATAGCTCTCATCGTCATCATAATCATTTGCGGATTCAGTTTGATTTTGATTTTCGTCATACTCACAAAGATCAGCACCGTCGTCCAACGAGTCCCCTGAGTCGGAGACGACAGACATTTCACATTGCTCAGAGTCCTCTGTTGATGTGTCTGGCTCAGAGTCAAAGCACTCGCACTGCTGATGTGACGGCTCGTATTGTTGTAGCGACTCGAGGCGGTCTGTGCATTCAGGCATCAAATCAGACATTTCACACTGACCGAAACTGCCACAGTACACTTCCAATTTGTCTGGCTCCGAGTCAGAAGACTCCAGCTGATGATCAGAGGGCTTACATTGTTGAAATAATTGGAGGTGTTCTGCACACTGTTCGCAGCAAGGACTACATTTGGAAGCTAAGCTATGATTAGCACAGTACTCAGAGGACTTGCAAGGTTTAAAACACTCACAGCGTTTAGCACATTTGTCAAATGGTTGGCTTAACCCCGAGGTCTCACACTCATCGAGGGTCTGGTCGGATTCAAAAAATCCGTTTGCTGAGAGTTGCTCAAAGCTCTCAGCGCGTCCACTGCAATATGTGCAGGATTCAGTCTCATCTGTGTTCATGTCGCAGCGCTCCACACAAAGGACAGACGCGTCCACGTCTCCGTCGACACGCTGCTCAGTGTATTCCACGAAGATCTTCATGCCTTGATCAGCGCTTTCCTTTGAAGGGCTTGTTAAATCTGCAGCTTCTGTTAATTTGGAGGCCTGGAATTGTTCAGCAAGCATTGCTTCAGTAGACGCCCCCCCTTCTCCTTTGCTTTGCTCAGAGTTTTCCAAATACATGAGGAAATTGTTTCTCAGTCTGGACTAAGTTTGTTCCAAGTCGTTACTCCATGCATTGGTTCGTGCAGAGAGCAAATCCAAATGACACGCAGGTAACTGTAAGGTCCATTCAGAGTGGGTATTCACAGAGCTGGTGGGGGGAGTCGCTCAGACCAAAGCCCGCCCAAGAGAGTAAGAGCAACAGGAGCAGCGTGCTCCTGACATGACAGGTTGTCACAACCAAAACTGAGACTAGCACTTGACTCGACCCTCCCTTTGCCAAAGACCAAGCAATTTATTTTGGGGGCTTGGAAAGACGTGACAAATAACTTCTGGAATATCAAATCTCTATAAAAGGCTGAACTCAGGCATAAATCTGAAACTGACACTTGAGAACGTCTTGACCACTTGATCTTCAGACCCTAACTGCCAAAAGCCATCTTGGTTTCCAAGAATACACCCTCTTTAACCGTAGGGGGTATTGTCAATTGTCCAAAAATGTGGACGTAAAACAGTAGTGGCCCGTCATTGAATCAACACATCCTGTTTTGCATTAAGCATCCATCATGCTCAGCATATAGTCTTCACACAAAAGTCTCTGTAACTGTCATCTGTTTTCTGTTAGTGCATTTAAACCTCTATGAATGCAGGAAAGGTCTGCTGGAACACATGCTGACCCCGGGTACTGTACTATAGGTTTCTGCAGCGGGCCAAAGGGCCTGCCCCTGGAAGCAACTACTGTCATGTGTCCTGCTGCGTGGTGCTTCTGTAGTAGCCGTTCTCAGGTTTTTGCAAAGCAGTGATCTTCAGGTCAGACACGCAGCTCTGCAACGTTTCCACCCTCCTTTTAACTCCTTGATTGATGCACGGACACGGAGTACTTTTCACCGCCGCCATACATAATAGCTCAGGAGAGAGAGACGCTCTTGTAAACATGAAAAGCTCTGAGCCAAGAAAACATGTGTTTCCTGAATTAAACGGGTGTCAATCACGCCGGCCACATGCTGCTCGAAAGACGACGAAGAGGGAGGTGGGAGGAAGCTGATATCTCACGGAAGAGTGAGCGGCTGGTGGTGGTGGTGGCGGTAGGGGGGGGATGCTGAGAGATAAACTTACTTTTGACAGAGTTCCATTTTCTTCCACCAAGAGAGGAGCGTTGCTTTTCGCTGAAGGTGGCTCGCTTTCTTTGTTGCACAGACAGCAGAAGAGGCTGTGGAAAAGGCCTCTGCTGCGAGGCTTCTTCGAGGCAGAAACGTCACTGGATCCTGGATCATAAGGAGACAGAGAGAGGATACGATGTTCATAGCGCCACATGATAGCACTGATTACAACTATTCTTCCCTTGAGCTACTTTCAGTACCTCAGCTGATATTGATATCATTGTCCATTGTTCCTCTATCCGGCTTCCATCTTTTTCATTTTAAAACTTATCCACCTTGCCAAGTGGAGCTGAATAGGATCACTGTGTGTGTGTGTGTGTGTGTGTAACATAAGATTACAACCATAAATCAAAAGTGGCACCAGTCATATTGCAATTTGTTTTGTGTAATTGTGCCATTTTATTGACTAAGAAATACCAGCGACTGCACGTCAACCTGATAGATGCCATGATGTCAGCATTGGCTCGGTGCACCAGCTCCGTGTATCCAATCTGCGCATCCCTCCAGCTGTTCTGTCAGCCGGACCCCCGCTGTGTCCTGCCAAGCTGTTTAGCTATTTTAACTGCCCATTGCATAACAAAGTCTAGGTGTACATTTCAGCCTCAAAATAGTCAGGTGGAGACATCTTGGGCCCGTTAGCTTTCCCAGTATATAAGTTGTTGTTTTAAATACCAAGAATTTGCATAAAGCAGTCACATTTGTTTATGTGTCTATGGAAGTGTTGTTCAAAGTCTGGGACTGAGGGCGTTCAATCAGGCAAACCTTAGACAAAGGATGCTCTCTCATTCATTCTTATTTTACACGATTACACTTTTTGATCCCATAGGCCGCTCCACAACTGAGCTGATGTAACCCTAAGCTTGAAGTATGACACAACTTTACACTAAAATACATTAAAAACGGTTTGTCCTCAGGCATTTGTTAGTTTCTGACTCTGGGAAAGTAGAGAAAACATTAAAATTTCACCAAAGAAAACTATCTCCTTAACTTTTAAATGAATTCATATTTTTCACTTCCATTCACCGAGCCTCTACTGAAACAATCTGGAGCCTTTCTGGGGACGCTCATCACCAAATTTGAAAACCTCTTAAGTCTCCTAAGCCCCCCATCTCCCTCTCTCTCCACTCACCGCTGTAGCTCAAGCACACCAGCTCACCTACTATTCTACTAAGACACTGTAAAACTGGGCACAACAGCAACTTGTAACACCGGAGTAATTCAGCCACACATCTAAGAACCGGATACCAATTCTGAAGAAGAATAATGACATACAAGGTCCTGCACTGCAAGTTAGCAGGATTAGTTTGAGACATACAAAACCCCAGAATTCAAATAAGTGTTTCTGAGACCGTCAAAAGTAGACGGAAGTTTCAAGGCAGAAATGCTCAGTCATGTTTCGTTAATGATGTGTCTACCAGCATATGAAAAACACCGTACGAACATGTTAACAAGGTAAAAATAAACAAAAAAAACTTGATTTTCAATGTAGGTGGACTTTACTTAAAGCACTTTTGTCATAAACTTACAGCATCATGTCCTTCAAGGCTGCCCCGCAACACACGGCTTTTACAAAGGAACAGCAAATGTGATTATTGTTGTCAAAGCAGCATATTTTACTTTGTTAAGCCAAAAATGATCATTACTTTAAAAGCAATGTCATGCGATAACAGCACTTTCCTTTATTACTGCAAAACCTTAATAGACATGACGACCACTGTTAAGTTCTGATGCTCAGAATGTACGCTGCCATTCAAAAAGAAAAAAAGACCATTTCTATTTAAAGCACCACATATTGTGTGTCAGCTCAGTCATTATATTAACAAGTTTTTCAGGAACATTGTTTGCCAAAATCTGGACAGTTTGAACCTGAATCTCCTCTACTTCCATGTCTGTTTTTGTGAAATGTACCAAAGCACAAGATGTAGAAATGCAATGCAGTTCATATCATAGCTACCTTTTGTGTCCCATAACGTCACCGGCCTCAGTACGAACCACTATTGGCACACGCAGGTGGTAGAAAACATCTCATTGGCCGGTGCCAAAGCGATGAAAGCCAGTGTTTACAAAGAAAGAAACATCTCTGACAAATTAGCTGAAACCCGATGGCCCGTCAGAGCTGTCAGCTACAGCATTAGCATGCCGCTCAGACAAGACTAAATCTGTTGCCTCAGCATGGGGCGGACCACGGACCTGTCAAACTGCTTCGGTGTAAATGTGTGATGATTGCGAAAGTAGCACAGATGGGAGATCGGTACCTTGTAGGGCGAACAACAAACGGAACAGCCGTCGGTGAATACTAATTTCTGTGTGAACAGTACAGGATGTGACACCAGTGTGGAGTGTCACACAGATCTAAGTTTTCTATGTGTGCTTTTTTTTGTCCTGTGTGGTGGCAAACTAAACATCTACAGATTTGGAGTATTTCTGGGAGAAGACGAGCAACTTGATGGCACCACCTTGACCTTTAGGACATTTTGATGGCCGTGTTTTTCTATTTCAGGCAATTTTATAGACAAAAAAAAACTTTTGTAGGCAAATACGTTGGCCAGATTAATCAATAAACACCTTTAGTTGATGTGTAAACCAGTCGGTCTGTTTTGTAGCCTGGATTACAGGAAGGAATTAAAACACACAAGACACTAAAACACTTCCTCTAAAACCTGCATTATGATGTCAACCAGGGGGATGACACATTATCTGTTAATAAGTCACCTTCCATGCTGTAAATAACTTTAATTTCTGATGGTGAGTAATTAAATTAATGCTACCTGGACCTGGATAAGCAGCAGGAAATGAATGAGTCAACGACTCTTACTAGTTTTAACAGGCGCCATCACATCTCCCCTTTACTGGCTTCTCTCCACTGGCTCCCGGTCCGTTTTAGAATTGATTTTAAGATTTTACTGATCACTTTTAAAGCTAGCCAGGGCCTTGGCACACGCAGCCTTAGATCCTCAGGTGGGTCCCTCCTAGTAAAGTCGAGGCTCAAATCCAAAGGCGACCGGGCCTTTTCGGTGAGGGCGCCTCGGCTTTGGAACGACCTACCTGAGGACATAAGGCTGGCAGACTCAGTGTCTTCTTTTAAATCACTTCTTAAAACCCACTTTTATAGACTCCCTTTCGATTGATGTTCTTTTATTTCTCTTTTAGATTTTCTCCCGTTTCTTTTCCCTTTTTTATTCGTACTACCTGCCATCTTTCTCTCTTTTATCTTTCATCTTACTTTTATCTTCAGCTTTTATCTTCACTCCTGTGATGTCGTCTTTTTAATCAGTCTTTATGACCAGTTTTACCAGCACACCTTTCAAGAGTGACCTAGTTTGTTCTTTTCCATTTTATTGTATTTTTATATTGAGTGCTTGCCTGTACTTTTTATACATGTTTTAGTTTTATGTAAGAACACTTTGCGAATTGTGTTCTAAAAAGTGCCATACAAATAAAGTTATTATTATAATCAAAAATGATTAATTCTTTTTAGAGTGGAAACAATTAGTTTGGTCTTTCATCTACAGAAAATGAATTAGATATTCATTTTTATAAGTGATTAATTGCTCCTGCTGTTTATCAAGAAAACACACTAAGTCACATAAATTAAGAAAAGCAGTTCTAAGCTTGACATGATTCTGTAAATAAAAGACATGTTTACTGTGACTACTGCTGGCTTTAAACACACACCCGAGGTATACAAAAGTGAGAAGCCTGAAAATATAGCGACAATAAAATACATCAGATGAACAAAACATGACTCAATTACTACAATTAAATGCCATTATGTTTGTATGTATGACTATCTTGTATCCTTCTTTACAGCAACCTTTATTAACCTCTCTATTTGGCCCACTTTCAGCTGCATCCCTGAACAAGCCTGACCTACTTTAGAGTCTTACTCCCTATGGCTTTGGCCTGTTGACTGCTTCATTCAGCTGGGGCTGTAAGTGGCCGGTGCCTCTGAGAGC